GTAATGCCTAAAACATCATTGCTTTAAAAAAACAAATGCATTAGTTAAACTTGCTAACAAATTTTATTTAAGTCATGTCAGTCTCCCCGTGATCATGACTGTAGTCAAAAATAATTTGTAAAGAATGTCAACTAATATATTTCGCATTTCAAACCGTTAAAGTGTTTTATTTAAATGAGTACTACTCGGGCAAACTACAGATAATACTGACATTGCGTTAAACAAAAGAAGTCTGGATTCGAACCTAGGAAACAATGAAGCCACCGTCGAACTGAGAACAAAGGTCTGATCAATATTTACCTACTGAAATAATCCATTAATAAACTAAGTATATAAAAGTAAAACGTCATATTTGAAGGGTTCGTGCGTTCGAACCCCACCAGATCCAAAATTTGTTTAATAAATTTATAATTTTACTAAAACTCGTTGGACATCGTCGAGAAATCTGGACAGCAAGTGGTAAAATAAAACGAACTTCTGTGAAATGAAAAGGCTGTGAAGTATTTATTATCTAGTTTCAATTTCAGTCCGTAGATTTGAGTTTTTTATCATAAAGAAGTATCTCCTTCTAATTTTCAACATAGCATTGTTTAAATTTTCGTTATCTACATGAATAAATTATTTTTTACCTTTATCATAGTTTTACATATGAAGTGTATATTTAAGGTGCAAGAAAGAGACGTTCGACATTGTGTCTCTGTCATTAAAACGATTTTAAATAATACATGTATTATTTTGACTGATGATCTATGGATCATCCAAGTTATTATCCACTTGACTGGCGTACCGTGACGATAATCAAACCTGTGACCGTGAAATGTTACTGAAATTATTATTACAGTTGTAACATATAGAATTACAATATCTATGTACATATTCATTTAAAAAGACCAAAACTACAAACTAAGTAAGACGTCACTTACTTAATATTAATTTGATATATATATGGTTGAAATAAATGACAGTATCGGGATTCGAACCCTACACCGCATTAGTAAGAGCGACAGAACTGGACGCTGTCGTGTGTTTGACATTCGAGAATGAATATAAATAGATAAATAGAATTTAAAACAACATTTCAGGATTTTGAAAATATTTAATGCATTTGTTGAAAATGAGCAAACTTACTATTGTAAAGTGGATCATTAAAATCTACAGAGAGAAAAATAAAATATTAAAGGAATCAACGATTCCAACCAAACCCCTATTCCCCCTCCACAAAGGATGTTATCAACTCTCCATTACGTAGGTGATGTGACCTAAAATGACCTAATAAAATCCCGCCCAAAGAGTATTTAACCCATAAGGAATGAGGTCAGGATTACGTCACACCCGGTGTCGCACCAGTTCCCTGCTTATTGAGCTAGTGACGTCACACTCTTGTGACGTCAGAGATCAAGGTCGCCGCCGGGTCATGAGCATTCAGGATTCGTTCATTGTTGAGGTTGAAAAAGATGTCAAATAATTTTACTTAAGTTATCTATTTAAATAAAACGCTTTAACGGTTTCGGGCCGACGTTTGGGATGCTTTGCAGCAACAGTGGTCACGGTGAGACTAAAGATGGGGAAACGTCGGGCCGAAGTTAAAAATCATTTTCAAATAAGTTTAACTAATATATCGCGTTTTAAACCGTTAAAGTGTTTTATTTAAATATGTACTACTGGCGTAAACTATAGACATTATTTCAGTTATCTATATATATACTTATATTGTAAAGCAAAAGAGTTTGTGTGATCGCGTTCATTTTAGGAAATACTAGTTTGAATTAAAAACATTCTGGTGTTAATTAGACTATATATCGCGAAATACTTTAGGCTATATTATATCACGCTGCGGCCAATAGTAGCGGTGAAACAGAGGGAAATGTGGAAAAACTGATTCTATCTTCCAGTCTATCTTTTGAGATGAACTTGCAAGAACGACGGGATCCTGACAACGTCATGGATAACAGCTATAATTTATTGAAGAGGGGTTGATTACAAAATAAATAGGTAATAGGCCTCAAAATACATTTTCACGCGACGCGGGTTCAATTCGTGAGCAGACACAAAAAAAAGTCTACTTTTTGTTAGAGAAAAAAAATTGTAACAATTGCAGGTATTCTATAGGTATAGGTTATATTATCTATACTAATATATAAAGCTGAAGAGTTTGTTTGTTTGAACGCGGTAATCTCAGCAACTAAACGTTGTTTTTGTATTGCTTAGTTGGTTATTTGTCGAGGAAGACATCCCCTGTAACTAATACAAGTGAAGATACAGCGGGAAATGTGACAAAAATCGGGAAAATTATTCACCATTATGGGTTACCGTACGCTGCAAAAACGGGAAGGGACGCCACCGAAGTCGTGAGTTTATAAAGATAAAGGGATTTGTAAAAACAAATTTAGATGCCCAAAATAAATATTATTAGCGGACGAAGTCGCTGGCACAGCTAGTGAATAAAAGAGCTTTAATAAAATAAATAATTAAAATAACTTTGTAGCATGACTTCTACAATATTGTAAGATAAATCTTGGCATATTGTCTTCCTCAATAAATTCGAGGTTAATAAAGGCACTAGGCGAGACGTGAACAATTTAATTAAATCTAAAATTGCTTTGTTTGCGGTTACTGGATAAGTTACTAAAATTATTAATGCAATATATTTAAAATTACTTGACGCAAAGCTGAGTAAATCCACGTTCGATATTAACTTGTATGAATAATTAAGTAATTATTCATGCAAGGAAGTTTTTTTCGTATTCACTGATGAGTAATTATTAAACGACTATTTATGTAAAAATTCAAATTATAAGTAAGTTTTATTATATTATATTTTATGCTAAGATATTTTAAAATCAAATTTTTAAATTCAATTTTATATAAGCATCTGTGGCTCAATGTTTACAATTGTTGATTAGTAGTTTACATCTGGGGAAACTTATGGTTTCAGCCGAGCCTGGAAACGTTGCTACCATTACATTACCATTACATGGTAGCAACATTGCTAATAATGGACCGATCTAGGGTTCGCTTCCACCAAGATCACCATGTTTCTAATCAATTTATATACTGTCTGTAGTTTACGCGAGTGGTACACATTTAAATAAAACGACGATAATGGTTTAACACGCAATGTATTAGTTAAACTTAATTGAAAATTATGTCAGCCGTGGTCACGGGGAGTCTTATCAATGTATATTTTTACTAAGACCCATTGGACTTTGTCTTCAAATCTGAAAAAAAAAATGAATAAGAACATTCAAGTTACATCCTCCATTCTAAATTGGACGACAGCATATATTTTCAGATATTGTAAAGTTGGGTATTTTACCTTCTTAGAAGTGAATCTCTTGCTTGTCTGTTTTCCTGTCATAAAGATTGCTTATGACATAACATAGACAAATATTCCAAGGCATATCAAAGGTGATTCTAATTATTGATTTTATTAACCTTGGCCTCTTACCAATAAAAAAACCCATTTGCACGTAATTTTCATGTAGCGGGGAAGTAATGGACATTCGTAGATAAACACGTGACATTTTACCTTTAACGAGCTGAAGACAAGGCCGCTAGTGAATTATGGCGCTTCTGACCTCCAACAGCCTCCAGGGAACGATACTCATTTAGACAATAGCATTAAGATACATTTAGCTGCGTGCTATTGACTGGTCTTGAGATGTGCATTCACAGGGATGTTACGGAGCTTCGAATCCGGTTCCGTTAAGTCGGTTACGATTATTACAGCTTCGGTTCCGACTTTGGATCCGACACTTTAAAATCTGAGGTCGACAGGTTCATAAATGTTGCGGAGAATACCACCTAATAAGTTGTTAATTTGTAACACACGACACGATTATAGGCTGTAGGTATTTGTTTTTGTTTTTGCAGCTTATTTAGCATCTATAAAAGATGTTTTTTGGGTTTGAATTTTTAATATTTTCAAAATTTCTTGTTTATTTAGAAATATTTTATTCAAAAATACTCATTCCGATACCGCCTCCGACTACGATTCCGACTCCGACAAATCAGACAGAATACGCCGCCGACTGTTCCCATGTCCCCTCCATTTTATCTCCAAAAGCTAAAAAAAGCAGGTAAAAATGTTGATATAACCTTCAGCAAAGCATAGAAGTTAGATCAACTCGTAAATAAAATCGATTAATGAATGACTCACACACACCCTTTTAAACACTTTTGTGTTTAAGGAAGTAAAAGGCTTCTTATTTTAGCTTAGTGTGTTTGTTTATATTTCGATGATGATTTAACAGATTGACCTTAACAAAATCTGCGACAAAGTACATTTACCTGTGTTTACTAGTAATGGTCGAGTTGACGACGCGAATAGTAATGAGGCAGGTGATCTGTTGTTGTTTGAAATGACTTAATTACGTGCTTAGAACGATGAGTGATTTTAACGAGCCTGTTGGTTTCGTTCGAAAAGTTAAAACTTTAAACATGTTTGACCTAGCGTCTTGGTAATGTGAACTAGTAGAATGATCAACGGATGGAAAAATGGTTAAGTATTCCTATGATTAGCATGTCATTGTTCTCGAGAAGAGGTTCTCGACGTTCTGCCATCACGAGCGGACGGCATCATCACGAGATAACTCCTCGATTGCTCGAAGAATTCCAAACAGCCCGAAAAACAATGACATGCTGAACGATGGCCGTAAAAGTCTTACACAATTTATTCCTATGACTATTTTTCCTCTTTCAGTCCAAATTCCGTTGACAACAAAAAAATGGACAACATAAGTAATAATACATTTTAAGATTTAAAAATCTGCAGATAAATGTGATAATTAAGCATGGAGTTTCCACAAATAATTAAACAGAAAACATGATTTTGCGCATATTAATTTAATTACAGTAATTAATCTTTGGATTATCCTTTTCTTATACACCAAAGCGTACATTCGCAAACAAAAGATTTTTTACTCTACGTACACTGATAAAGACAATTGTAAATTGCAAACTATCCTAATGTATCTGTGGTGTTGACCTAGAAGGAGGTTCTAACAAGATCTGTTACAACGTCTTCTTCTTGAGAGGCGAGTTGGACACTGTGCGCCTCCCGGACCAGGCTGGGCCTAAAACAAACATCACAATAATAAAACCAATGTTATCAAGCTAAGGAGTAAGTTTAAACGAGCTAATCTCACGAATCTTTTTATATTGGATAAGAGATGCATGTTTTAAAACACTTTTATCACACATTTAAATATATTTCGCGTTTCAAACCGTCTAACTTGTTTCAGCTTAAATGCATTTATCGAAAACGACAATTGCACGCAATAGGCCTTTTCATATAATGGGAGACGAACAACCAATTTCTAAATAAACGAACGAAACGAATTTTGAGTTAACGATACAAATGTTGTAATTGTTCTAATTCGACGAATAGATCTGACCTTGTGTTCACAATAAGTGCTTATACACGCTTAGAATGCCTTTAGCAATTACATAACTTATTAGCTGGGATTTCAAGAATCCATTAAACTTCCGTGGTAAACAAGCATACAACCATTTCGTTACTCATCGCGAATTATAGGCACCTCGATCCGATCCGTGTTTGACCAAAACCGCTTCTTATATTTATCAACGTTTAATGTAAATACTGTCTATAGTTTACGCGAGTAGTACACATTTAAATACAATACTTTAACGGTTTAAAACGCGATATATTAGTTAAACTTGAACTTTATTTGCATTTTCCATTTGGTTAATTGAATACTGTTTTTAGGATTAACTAATATATCGCGTTTTAAACCGTTAAAGTGTTTTATTTAAACATATAATGTTTAAATTCGAACGAGCAGTTCCTGCGTAGCGCGGTCAAACAAACTTGTCAGCGTTATTAGTATAGATTTATTGAATGTTCTGACAAAGGAACAAAAATACAAACGAGACTTTTAACTTCTATACTAAAAATTTGAAATGCAATGGGCGGCCCTGTCGCTGACAAGCGATCTCTCCCAGACACCTATTATTTTGAAATTATTGTTACCGCTTTCAAAATAATATTGATGCTATTCAAAATCACTGCTTCCTTATCTGGTATTAATATAGTCAGATGGAAATTTTAAGTAGGACAGAAACAGGGAAAAGAAAATTCGCTTATAAAAATCGCAATAACAGTTGAATGTGATAGACACATCAAAGTGTTCCAACCGAGCTGATGGATTACTCAGAACCATAAAACAGTACTATGGATTCACAAATAGTTTTATGATCCTCGACTTTCAAGGGCCGGCACAAACCACCTTAATGTAAGACATTAAAATACTTTTAACAGTTTTAATCACGATTTATATGTAATTTTCAAATCCTTTGTAACTGCAATTCTAGGTCTTAATAATTAAAAATCAGTCAATATGAATTCGCGTTTTGAACCGTTAAAAGTGATCTATTAATGACTAACTCTCGTAATCCGCATACAAAGTTTACTGCTTACAGCTAACTTAAGTAATACCTAAATACTGTCTATAGTTTACGCGAGTAGTACACATTTAAATAAAACACTTTAACGGTTTAAAACGCGATATATTAGTTAAACTTATTTGAAAATGATTTTTAACTTCGGCCCGACGTTTCGGATGCTTTGCAGCAGCCGTGGTCACGGGGAGACTAAAGATGGAGGATGTCTCTGACGTCAAAGTAAAAAATTGCTACGCTAGCGCCATCTGTTCCGTCGAAGTTGATATTTGGCGAAGGACCCGGCCAGTTTCGTATAATAAGTTTAACTAATATATCGCGTTTTAAACCGTTAAAGTGTTTTATTTAAAAAATTAAGTAATACTATCCCAACAATAATAATAATGTTATAATTTATAAACTGTACTTTGCTTAGATACGTTTTATGTTTTATTTGGTAGATTTCTATGGACTAAAACTTTAAAAAAATACAGCTATAAAAGCTAAATTGAATCCTAGTTACTTAGATAAAAATACTGTCTGTAGTTTGCGCGAGTAGTAAACATTTAAAAAAAACACTTTAACGGTTTAAAACGCGAAATACATTATTTTAATTACTTTAACTACGGCCCGACATTTCGGATGCTTTTCAGCAACCGCGGTCACGGGGAGACATTTTATTTAAATACATATAGTTATAGAAGCCGTATGCTTACCACAATAGTTCTAGTACGTTCCTGGTATCCAATGCCACACGTGACGCTGCAGCGGCTCCAAGAACTCCATTCGCTTACTTGGCAGTCTACTCCCGATTGTAGACCTAGATATTACCACAAATACATCAAACATAAGATGACGTATTTAATCATGACAAATACAGATAAAAGATCCGAAACAATGTCAACAAGATAGATCTTCTACGCTTATTACAATATAGAACAACCACGAAATTGAGAAATTGACCGCCTTTGTAGCCAAATGCTTAAACGTATTGCGTAAAGCGCGAGAGGCCCTGGGTTCGAATCCCAGGGAAACAAAACGTTGTTTCGGTCGGGCAGGGCACAGAAGTCCGATCAACTACTTGCCTGTTAAAGAACAGACCAGTAAAACGGACACAGAAAGGTGTTCGCCCCATGCCCCATGAGGGGGAAACGGGATTACACACACGAAATTGAAGTGATCTTATAAAATAATTATTTAATAAAAAGCAATTAATTGTTTCGTTTGGGCAAAAATGCTATTTGACTTTAAAGAAAATGGATAAGTAACACTGGCATTCCCATTTATACAATAGACTTACTATAGGAACTACCTCGGGACTTAACAACAGTACAATACCATTAAGAGCTGGTGGCACAGGCACAATTGAATTTATGCTGAGCCCTGGATAATTGGAGCTGATGCTCGGCACGAACTGGTTATTGGGAGGCACCACTCCGTTGGCTGCACCACCACCTGCATTTAAGAAAGCGATCTTATTAATAATCTATAGTGTCTTAGTCCAAAATAGAAAGCTAATATTTTTTAATTGCATTTTTATATGTTAGAGTATATTTCATATAGACGTTTATTGTAGAACTAGCTGTGCCTGCGACTTTGTCCGCATGATATATTTATTTTGGGCATATTATAGCTGTTAACCTAGACGACGTCCGCGTGTTCTTGCGAGTTATGATTAAAGAGAACTTTTGGTTTCTTGATCCGCCTTTGCAAAATACACAATGGACACCCGCAAAGATGATTAATTTTCCCCGTTTTTATCACAATTCAATTTGAATAGTAATTCCTGACATTAGCGTGTTTAAACTGACAAACAAACTTCAGTTTTATACATTAGTATAGATTTCTGAAAACTTTTTCAATTCGCTTGTGGCCTAAAATGGGCAATTACCCATACATTTGGATGATATCATTTGAGTTTCAAGCTGCGATGTTGCATTCGACCATCAAAGCTAGGTCAACGAACAATATTTAATATTAGCATGTATTCGTCAAACTATGTACATATTGGTCTTATCGTCTGACAACATATAAGTCGTAATCATAATCCTAAAGATTTCAGCTAGATTTGACGGATTACGGATTAAAAGATTTGTCAAAGTCAGATAAATTTAAGCAATGATAGTAAGACCGAAAAATCTATGATACTCTCTATGATACATACATTTAAATGACACCCTTTGAACGGTCCCAAACGTGAAATGTATGTACCTAACGTGTTTTTAACTACGACCCGATGTTCGCGACAGACCCGAGTCTTGGTACGGGAGCGGTTGAGTGTTAATAAAGATTTAGGTTGTACATGGTGTCAAAGTCAAATCGCTACACTAGCGCCATCTGTTTTGTCGTAGTTGGTATTTGGAGAAACTAAATAGGTCCTAACAGAATTGGTTTTTGAATATCATTTAATTATTAGAAACGGCGAACATAAAAATATTTGAATTTATAAACAACAGATTCAACCGTAACGCGTTACGTAACGGTACCCTTAAGATGTTATCAATACAATAAATGAAACTCACCCAGTATCACCTTACAAGTGTTCATACAGTCCTCTTGGGAGATAAAGTTGTTGCGGTTACCGCGGCATCCACCATACGTGAATGGGATACACATGCCCTTAGCTGCTACGAACGTCCAGCGCTGGTACACACCTCGACAGGGCCCCTGGTCGGCAGTTTCCATACAAATACCTATATCACATTAAAGAAGAACAATTAAAAATATATTTTAAGCCTAAATTGGAAACCGTTAAGAAATTTGAATAAAACACTTTAACGGTTTAAAACGCGATATGTATTAGTTTTATTATTTTAACTACGGCCCGACGTGTCGGTAGCTTTGCCTAGCGTCAAATAGGCTTAACTTATATCGCGTGTATTACTCGCGTAAACTACATACAGAGTATTTAAAAGTTAGAAAAGATTATATAAGCTCATTTAAATAAAACACCTTGAATGGTTTAAAACGCGAATTATTAACTACCTTCACTTACTACTCGCGTTAATGACATACGATGCTTGTGTTTTAAGTTATTATAGTTTATATGAGTAACACACACTGTATATACTTTTATTTAATTAACTTATGTAATAAAACATTTTCCCCAACTTGGAGTCAAACCTTGGACCTCGTGATTTACAATCGTGTGTTCCAACGACTAGACAGGCGATAATAGAAATTTATATATACGACAGGGATACAGCGACCTTCTTAGGTTTTCCCATATTATGTATTTCTGTTAAAAATATTTGTTACATATATACAGTGTCATGTTACATATAAGTCGTCACATATACAGTGAAGATAATATTATGTGCCTAAGCAATTTGTGACTGAATATAGACAGCGTAATGTTAAGTGCAAACATGGCTCTTATTGTTATGCTCCACAATTCCAGAAGCAATAAGTTTTACTTTGTTAAGAAAACACTTTCAAACGGTTTAAAACGCGAAATGTATTAGTTAGTTACTTGTTAACAATATATTTTAAGTATGGTTTCGGATGCTTTGCAGCAGGCGGAGGGCGTCCCTAATGTCAATGTCAATTCAGCTACGCTAGCGCCATCTGTTTTGACGGCTTCGTTGGTCTAATGGTAGCAATGTTATTAGCTATACGACCAACGGGTCCGAGGTTCGACCCCACCGGGTTTCAACACGTTTCTAATTTTTCAATTTATGTAAAAATTAAAACATGTCGACTTCGCCTAAAAATCTGGATATTAATTGGGTCGTAGGTAGAAAATATAGAAATTCCGCCCGGCTTATGAACTACCGTCCACAGATGAAGCCGTAATTCAATCTGTGGATTTCCAGATATCCAAAGACAAAAGAGGTTGACAGTTCATCTTGCTTGCTTAGATGTCTGGCGTATTTCACCTACCATCAAGTAAGCCCCAAGCTTGTGTTCTTCTATCAGAACTAGAAGCTGAAGCTTTAAATCTTACGTTTAGCCGTTAGCATATCAATCTCGCAACTCTCCTGCTCCTGGCAGGGTCTCTGCTGCAGCAGCTCGACCTTCGCTGAACACTCCTGCTGACGATCGGCTGGCACTAGCAGCAGTCGCGTATGGAACATGACACCTCGTCCGCATGATGCGGAACACGGTGACCATGCTGACCAGTCCGTGGTGGGACATAGAGGATCCGATACAGCTGCTTGTTCCTGCTCTGTGCATTGTGGTTCCATACACTTTCGGCTTTCCTCTGTAACGCGGTGAACGTTTCTCGTAATAAAATTCAATAGTGTCAAAAAGGAAAATCAAGTTGAAAACAAATTCGATACGGTTTTAACCGCCGGTTGGCATCCACAACGGTCTGTGCTGTTTCTCTAGCTACCGTGCTACGGTGACCTATACGTCATTGACGATTTTTTTTCAACCAATTGATACGTGCACCTCTCGCGCAAGTATTAAAGTAACAAAGGACCAATGTGACGTCACAAATAAGCAATAAATTGGAACTAATTTGTTAGACTATTATGTATGTATTTTCTTACATATTTAAAAGGCCCTTGTTCCTTGTTCATTTATATTAAAGATTTCAACTCCCATGAAATAAAAACAGTATTCGAATAAATTTACTAGAATTGCACACTACACCGCCTCTGTATCTAGATGGTCAGTGTTGCCTACCACTACGTTAATCACAGAAAGAATAAAAAACGGACACAGAATTATGTTCAAGCGAAACAAGATTTCTTTGAGCACACTACACCAACCGACTGTCGTGTCTGATACACGAATCGTTAAACTTATCATCCTATGTAAGATACATGCAGATTATAAATGTTACTTACCAACTTGTACAAGTGGGCACTTCTTAATGCCCATCTGGTTGAGGAAGTTCCTTCTGCGGGTAGCGACACCGATACCACAAGTAACAGAGCACTCGCTCCAATGGCCCCATTCTGTAGTCTTGCATATTTCATCTACCTCCTCTAGCGGATTCGCGTTGAAGTCACTATCTTCTGGTTCAGGATTACCACCCCTAGGTTTTACAATAATAAATCGTTACACCATTTGTTTGAAGAACTTAAACATGGCTTTTCTTGAATCTTAATGATTTTTCACTTTATAAATGACCCCTTACAACCCCATTTTCGCAATAAAAAGTTAGTGATGATGATAATGATGTTGATGTTCAAAGTAAAAATCGATAAGCAAGCTTTCCAATCATAAGCTAAGTCTTTCATTACGAGGATTGGAAAGGAGGTTGTTACTCAACATTTGACGATTTCCATTTATGGGATAGTGCACACAAAAAGAAGCCTTACAGCAAATAATATAAGTGATTGCAATTTCTTTTTTTAAGAGCAAGACTTACTCGCACTCTGGCACATCAGCAACACACATCTCCTTGGAAACTAGCTGACGGTCGCATTCAAACATTTGAGCCTTCTGTGGCATTCGATATTCGCGTGTGCGCATACGCAGTCCCTTACCACACGTCACGGAACACGCGGACCATGTACTCCACTCTGTCACTGCGCACTCCGCTGCAATAAAGAAAATAAAATCTATTCCTGTTGAAAACATTGGCAATTTTTTTTAATTTTTCTCTTCTTTTCTCCACTGAAACCAGCTTTATCATACAAAAGTAGAATAAATTATGATTTCACGTTATAGTAATGTTTTAGTTATATTGTACTTAATCTGCCGTCTAGTATGTTTTGAAGCGTAATATTTTCCATGTATTCCTGGTTGCTAGGAAGCAAAAGAAATTATACATTTATTATCTTTTGGAAACTTCATTGTAATATTCCACATAAATTACAGCTGCATTTATAATGTCATAACATGTACGAGTACATTAACATAAATTTCCATACCCTCTTCTTTCCTAAAAGATACTTAGGTACTCACGTCTATCAGCGGACTGTGTATTTTCAGCCTCTTCAACGACAAGACTCTGCAGTGTCTCCTCATCACACCCCCTGGATATGATCTTCTCTCTCGTGAGGTACAGCCGTGCCATGGGGTTCATTTCGCGCTTCTGGGGGTCGTAGAATGGGGCCCGTGGGTCTTCCGGATACATTGTTGTTATGCGATACATTCTTTCACGTGGCGCTGTCTCTGAATTCGCAGACTGAAAAATGAAAAACTCAATAGCGTTTTTTTTAATGACGGACGACTAACAACTAATTCATTTCATGGAATGTAAAATATCCCATGCATATAACATCCAAAAAAGATGCGCTAACGACTTTTGCATTGGGACAATTGGAAATCTAGATATAGAAACGCGATAAAATCTCAAATTTCATATGTGCGTTTGGTATCTTTATTTCCCTACACTTGTAAGAGACCTCACCATGTAAGAGATTCCATTATCCGTACCAGCGTCGTACGGATATAAGTCGATGACTTTAGACTCCACCCACGAACAGTCCTTGTTGCATAGTTCCAAACCATTTACTCCCACCACCCAGTCAGGTGAGGGTCCTGCGTAAAAAATATAAATTTTACAACATCTGTATTATATAAACTACAAGACTGAGGAGATGGTATAAAAAAATATATTCTGATTAGTTGCTACCCGGTATTGGTAACCAGCTGAATTTTACGTGGTAGGTACAACATATTATTTTCTCTTGGAGACACCACTATCGTAATAAACGTATACGCGATAAAGTCGGAATTACATGCAACATCAAGTCACTATTTTGAACATCAATTTTGACTCATGTGATAAAACATTAAATTAAGTTAAATAAAGTTAATAAAAAAAACTCTAACGATTTAAAGTGTTTTATTTAAATATGCACTACTCGCGTAAACGAGTTAGGCTTGGCTACACGAACAGAGCAAAAAGGACAAATTATTCATTTTACCCCCCACCACGGAATCACCACGGCTTCGTCATATCGCATCTTCTCTAAGGGTTTCACGTAATACAAAAACATACCAAACATAGAAGCAGCAGAGAAAAAATGGCGTTTTCTATCGACTGTGAAAGTGGCAGAAGTATTTGAGTTCACGCGAGGATGCCATAATCCTTGCGCTCGGACTATGGACCGCAAAAGACCCCCTCGTTGGCGCAGCTCCCGTTCCAGCAGACCCACAGAGCCCCACTCCGCTAAAGACCTATGAAGAGAAGAAGGTTTAAAGATTTAAAAACGACTCAAGTTATGGATCTATGAATTGAGTTGTATTAATTAAATATTTAATTCTTTTTAACATGCATCTTTGAAGAAGAAGAAAAAATAATGATAAATATTTAAGAAGACAATTTGAAATAGAAATAACTGAAGAACAGCTCGAAGACAGGCTTGCTGCTTCGTATTATCATGGTATATTAACTTATCCACTACTAATCCACTAAATGTACCTAAAGCCATCAGTAGCAATCTGCCCTTCGCCCCAGAAACTGAAGTTCTTTGGATGAGTAGCTCCAATAATGTCCGAAAAATGTGTTAACCACATCGCTTGAACGGGGAAATCCTTGGGGTGTGTCTGTGGGGACCAGAGACCTTCGAAGACCATCTAAGAACAGTTAATGATTTTATTCTCATGATAATCTTAAAATTTAAATAAATCTGTTTAAGCGGTTTAAAACGCGAAATTATTAGTTTATTAACGTTTGACTCGCGGATCTCAAGACTGTTGAAAATCATTAGAATTGCCAGTAGTTAAAATTAATTCAATATATTTAGCGTTTCAACTGATTTAAATGAAATTTGGTAGACAGATATTTTAGAGCCTGAGAAAGGACATAGGCTACTTTTTAATGCCAAAAAATTGTTAGGGGTTGAAAAAGGGGATGAAAGATTGTATAGAAATTCGTGGTTTTTGGAGCTAAAACAATGAAACTTTCTTCTTTGGCTTTTTCGGAATAAGAGTGGGAGTGATTGTAGGAATGAGAGTGGGAGTTAGAGTAGGACTGATGTGAGGTGAGAGTCGGAGTGTTGGGGCAAAGTAGCACTTACAACATAGATTGGCTGCCTTAAATGCACCCTTACATAAATTAATAAACTGCCTAAATAATTAAAAACTCTACCCCAAGTCACTATTCCACGTGGACGAAGACGCGGGCACAGCTAGTATTAGTATAGATAAGAAAATAAGTACAAAGTACCTTATATTTTGCATCATCACAAGCACAGCAGTCTGGCACACCCAGGGATGTATCTTCGCAAATACGTTTCGTCAATTGACCGTCTTCTGCGTACCACTTGCTGACGTTTTCGTACACCATAGCCCTATTATATGTATATAGTATAGTAGAAGTATTTAAATAACACACTTCAACGGTTTAAAACGCGAAATATATTAGTCAGTTTACTAATCCGCTAATATATTTGACTTGTGACTCCGAAACCTCGGGCTGTAGTTAAAATAATTATCAAACAAGTTTAACAAATATATTTCGCGTTTTAAACCGTTAACGTGTTTTTTTTCAATGTGTAGGTACTTCTCGCGTAAACTATTTGCATACAGTACTATAGTCAATCAGTACAGGGAATATATAGTGTATTCTTTTGATTTTAAAGTGTCCTTCTTATAACAAGAGCCAGTCTGAATCTCTAAAACATACTTAAGCAATACGCATCCAGATCCAGCTGGCGGTGCTTTCCACATGACTTGTACTTCAGTCTTGGGAAGGTCATCCGCTTCCACCACTGAGTTTATGCATTCATCGTCAAATCTGGTCAGGGTATCAGCAAACAACTGGAATTGTCCCTGTTTCCTCGGAACACGTGGCTGCTTCGGGTCTAGCGGGTCAGCTACTATTTGAAACTTGGTGAACTGCTGGACCACGTCGTGGGTGCGCGATCCCACCAGAGTCACTGGAATTGGAAGGTCTCAAAAATTAGGTTCTGAAACATCATACTATAAGTATGTTTGACGTTTATTTAACCCTACTTAAGTAATGTCTGTAGTTTACGTAAGTAACACATCGAAATGAAAAACTTAACGGATTAAAACACAATATATATGAGTTAGCTTATTTTTAACAACGGTCCCACGTTTTGTTTCGTGATGCAAAGCATACTAAACGTTGGGTTAAAAATTAGTTATCCAATAGATATCGAGTTTTGAACCGCTACGTGTGTTTTATTTAGATACCTACATGAAATTAGTAAAGTTACAACATTGTATCTTGCTTGGAAAAAATAACGATCAAGTTTGCAAAGATGAAAACTATAATTTACTTTGTATTGAAACAAAGTTGAAAGCAAATTGATAATAATTATAAGTTCAATATTATATTTATTCCGGAAAGGGCAAAATGTTATAATTTCGTGGAAGCTTGATAAAACAATCGGCCGACATATAAAAACATATACATACACAAAAAAGTTAGTAATAACATAGATAACTTGACTAAGTTACAATCAAACATAAATCGAATCTATACTAATATCAAGTTGAAGAGTTTGTTCACTTCATATTCAGCATATATAAACTATAAGAAACTCGTGTTTTATATGACGTGGATTTTATTTTAACGGCGGTATAAGAATTCCATCCCGGGTCACGAACCACCGTCCACAAAAGAAAAAGCCGCCAAGTGTAGTGGCATTACGGTTTTAATCTATGGATTTCCGAATATCCATAACCAAGGATATGTAATAGATGTTTTATTTAAATGTGTCGCGTTAACTACAGACAGTTATTTGGTATTATTGTAATACTTCTGTAGTTCTTACCGACATATCTTTGATCAGGCGCGTACCGCTCTATTTCACCGTTGACGACCAGTCTGTAGAAGTTGTCTCCGGGAGATTTAGGAGAAGAGTCGTCAGGCGGGCTCAACTCACACGCTAGCGCAACCGCTAGCGTTGTCAGCACGCATGCGCACGTGCGAAACATCTTTCCACCTGCTCTCAGATATATTTGCAAATATGTTAATAGTCAATCAAATCTCTTTATTAATTGCTATATAAATTGAGGTCGCTAGAGGTTAATGTTAATCTAAAAGAGGACAGTAAAAATTGTTAACATAATTCTTATACCAATAATTGTACAACTTTAATGTTGCCTAAGTTAATTGCGCATTTTTATTTTCCTTCTTATTAAAAAAATCATCTTCTTAGGCCACTCTTTCTCTAGCAGCCTCAAGTAATCCTATAAACTTCAGACTTCTTCTACCATAGCCAGGCCAGTTTCAAAACCAGTGTTGCTGAGTGTCACAAGCAGTCAGCACCACTGAGTTTGTTACCGATTGCCATTTCTTATTGATTTTGTGCTGTTTAGTAGTTATAGAGTAAAAACATTTTTGAATATGAATATATTTGGTAGCAACAATCGTGCCATGGTAGTTATGGTAGTAGCGACGAGAAGAGTAGAATTTGACTTATAAAGTTACTGAAATAAATGGGATGGAATCAAGAAAAAAAAACTATACGCTGTGATTATATAACCCTTAATATTGGAAAAACAAACTTACCACACAATGAAATGTTACCAGCGGGACGCCGAGAACAGAGTGCGCTACTGATGCGCGTACGCAGACTGAGATAACGGGTCAAATGTCGCGGCCAGTGGCGACTAACTGGGTGAACGCGCTTTATCACCTACCGAAATTAAATTTTTCGCTGTTTTGTTAATATTTAAATCATTTTTACGAAACTAATTAAGAAAAATATAATTAGTCTTGTATGTAACTCCAAAGCTGCATATTTATGATATTATTCTTTGGACATTTCTGTTTTGAATTACTTGATTACCTAATATTTGAAAATAACAAGAAAAAAACATTTTCTTCCAAAACGTTCCTATGATTTTTCTACCTGCTGTTTGAAATAAACATGTGAAACCACGGAAGTAGCTCGTCAACGAGGAATCAATGTTTTTAAGATAAAATTATTGTACTTAACTGACCTCTTGAAGCACCGGAAAAGCTATCAAAACATTATTTTGATTGTCAAAACTATAAATTTATTAAAAAACAAAAAAGCCATCACTCTAACAACGGCACGTCGTTCTAGCCGCTTTAAATAATGAACTCCACTGTAGTCCCCAGTTGCCAAAGCAGCCGTCAACACTGTCCAAGTGCTGTCTTCCGGATTATTAGAGACGCGTGCCCACAAGCCCCAAACTGCTAATACCGCCCACGCGCAGGATATCTTCATTTTGATACACAAGAATGCTGGATACACTCATGACGTCATCGTTTATTTGCACAAATACCTTTGAAAACCTTACAATTACGATTCATAATTAATACCTTGTTTGGTTTTAGTCGATAGTAATAACTAGATATTTGAAGGCCTTGGTCAACAATGGTGACGATCGCGGGTTCGATTTCCACCAGGTCCGTACTCAATTTATATATTTTTTTTAACATTCTGTTAATCTTCGTCTGGAAATTGTCGATATTGTGTTAAGATCTTCCGTCAAGTGAACACTTGCTAAAACCACCTCCTACAATTATCTGGATAATAAATAGATGGTAAAATTATCGAAATTCCGTACGGATCATGAACCGCAGTCCACAGAAGAAAAAGTGTGTAATAGAGTCGTTATATGACTGGGCTATTATTTCACCACCGTAAGTTAATTTATTTACGATTATTTACCTACAATTTATTGAAAATATATTTTCCGACTCTTAGAATTGAATGTGAAAACTACATAACGGTAAAACATTAGATAATATTTTTTTCTTTTACTTTTATATGTTACTAGCTGACCCGGCAAACGTTGTTTTACCATATAAAAATAAGGGTTGATCGTAGAAGGGTGAAAATTGAGGTTTGTTTGTATTTTTGTATGTTGTATCATAAAAAAGTAGAAAATAAAAACTTTGTCTAAAAAATAAAAAATAAATTAGGGGTGGACTACCCCTAACATTTAGGGAGAAGAAGAATAGATGCTGGCCGATTCTCATAGATAGCGGATAAGCACAAAAAATTTCATCAAAATCGGCCAAGCCGTTTCGGAGGAGTATGGCAACGAAAACTGTGACACGAGAATTTTATATATTAGATTTTATAGAACCTACCACACAATCTACCTTTCAGACAGACATAGTTCGTGTTTGTCTGTCCTCATCTGTATGAAAAACCTACAAATTGGTATCAATTTCCCTCAATCATATATAGATTACTCGCTCCAATATAACTTTGGCAACTCGTTAGTGGCTTCGTCATGAAGACACCCCTTCGTTTATTTTCATTCACCTTGACTTTCGATTTCCGTGATATTCGTATCAGGTTCACTAACGTTGAACGCACTTCCTCAAAGTATTTCCTTCAATACTTTGTGACATAGAATTTTCTAGTCAAATTTATTTTTTGCACAAAAATATACAGATAAATTTACATACAGTCTATAGTTTACGTGAGTAGTACAAGTTATACACAATTAAATAAAACACCTTATCCACGCGGCTGCTGCAAAGCACCCGAAACGTCGAGCCGTAGTTAAAATAATTTTAACTATATAAATTGTGTTTTAAACCGTTAGTGTTAAAACACTAACGGTTAAAAACACAATTTAGTCCGAGACGTCCTTAAGTTTTAATAAATTAAAACTTAAGGGCGTCTTGCAAGTAAAGACCGTATTACGTAAGAAAGTGTATATCATTGCTTGGGGAAGCCACTCTGTAAAAGATGTAGTATCGAATTGAAACTTGGCGATAAAAGGAATGGCGGAGTGTTTCTTGTTAGGTCTTCTCGTGCATAAGATTCTCTCTAAGAAATAAATCCACTAGTTACCTACGCAAAAAATGATTTGACGATAGAGGACAGATAAGCCTCACTTCTATCTAAGAAGGTGAAAGCCCCAGCCCTATAAAATCCAAACAAGATGCTCTGTCGACCTATTTTGACTTTGGATATTCGGAAATCCACAGACTGAAACCGAAACGCGATAATATAGCTTTTTAATCTGTGGACGGTGGTTCGTGACCCGGACGGAATTCCGGATGTTCCTATCACTCATTTAATATAAAGATTTCTTGGCGACGTTTGAGATTTTTTTTAAATTTCAATAGAAAAATGTTAGACCCGGTAAACAGTCGTACGTAAATAAAATATAAATTTAATTAAAAATAAATTAATTTTAACATTGTAATCAAAATAAACAAACAGCATAGTACGAAATAATTTATTTCACGTTATAACTAAACGATTATTACATATTAAAAATCATTTGACTAGCTTAGTTCTATTCACTCAGGAGGGGAACAATTGCCTTGAATATGAAAATAATAATATTGAGTGGCCACACTGCACTTCAAAGTTTCTTTTTAAAAAATAAACAAATCTTATTACTGTAGATAGTACGAGGCTTAAAGCAATTGTTACCCCAAACACACACAAGATTATAAGGCAATACTGCATTCGATACAAACAGTGGACGATCGGTAATCCGAAAACATTTTATGGGGCAAGTCGAGCTATAGAGTACACTAAACCCCTATAATCCGAATTAACAAAATCTCTAACCGCAATGTAAGTATGGTAATATAAATGTCAATTAAGATACAATGCTGTAGATTTGTAATAATATAAGTTTTTCTTGTAACAAGCAACACAGTAGAGAGCGTTTGTTTACGTCTCTTACTTTAAACTTTCGTATATTTGGTTCGGTTTAATAAAGAAATTGCCACACCCACCAAAATACAGAGAGTGGCGGATGAAAGTGACCCAAGGTGGTACGTTGAAGTTCATTGTACCTGGGTCTTAGGTGTCCGAAGTGGGAACAGCCCAGTATAAATTACGAAAACTACCGTAAAAGGTAGGGTCGGTTGAATGACGTGTAACATACTATGTACGTTACATATACGTGAAGACTATAATAAAGTATTCAGTAACATTTTCGGATTATCGAAGTTCCATTGTAAAAGTTAATTCATAGCAAATCATCTTAGGAATGAAAGGAAAGGAATATGAATAAATATAGTTTGAAATACTGTCTGTGGTTTACGCGAGTAGTACACATCTGAATAAAACACTTTAACAGTTTGAAACACGATTTATAATAGTCAAACTTTCCCCATTAAAAAGTTAAAAGTTCCCCATGACCACGGCTGCTGCAAACAATTTTAAAATAAGTCTAAGTAATATATATCGCGTTTAAACCGTTAAAGTGTTTAATTTAAATTACACTTTCATTATAAACGTGTGTTTGTTTCACAATTTTGTATTACAGAAATTAATTTTCCTATAAGTTTTTAACAGCAGACCTTTCCCTTTGATTTGCAATGAAGAACTGCTTAAAATACGAGGCTTGTTAAATTATTTTTATACACTGCCTATTCTATTATCGTTTACAGTTAAATATAAAAATACAGTTTCATGCATTTTTCGAAAAAAATACAATACAATGCACTAATAAAAGTTTTGTGTTTATTTTTTACCTCTATCTCGGAGTCTTTCACATTCAACCTAACATTTTACGATTGTAATTTGTTAACTTTGCAGCTAGCTCATGTTAATTATTTCTGAATTTAGTTTTTGACCGTAAATTTCCTTTGATGAAAATATATGAACAAATACTAATTTTAGGCGCGTTTAAGAAATGTTACATATGTCGCAAATATACTGGATAAAAACAAACTAGAATTTTGAAGAAGTAATTATTTGCAGTACGCATTCATTAATTTTCCAATATTAATAAGTGAAATCTAAGAATGTCTAAATTAGATTCATGTTCTAAAAGAATGTTATTAGCAATGTTAACATAACTATACTTAAATTTAAGTAGTATTTTCTTTAAATTATATACTTATAAAACAATTGACCAAATTTAATAAAATAATATTACATCTCCAATTGTAATTGAGAAAGAATTTGAAAAGAAATACCGTTAAGATTATTAAAGAATGCCTGAATTAAAATAAACTACTTTTAACAGTTTGAAACGAGACATATGATACTTATTTCCATGCTCGCGCCTGCAGCAGAGCCCATGTGGACAAGTAAAAATAAATACTTTGCATTTTAAACCGCGCTAAAATTGTTTTACTTAAATGTGTGCTATACTAACAACGTCTGAATCTGTCTATAGTTTAAGCAAGTAATACACATTTAAATAAAACACGCGATATATTACTTGAAAATGATTTTTAACTTCGGCCCGACGTTTCAGATGCTTTGCAACAGCCGTGGTCATGGGAGGTCCCGTGACCATGGGGGACACAAAATATTTTAGTTTTAAACCGTTAAAGTGTTTCATTTAAACGTCTGAATCTGTTTGAATTTATATTATAATGGAATGCCATCAGAAGAATGTATTAACTTACAAATAACATACCAATTCTATAAAAATCAATAAACAATATTTTTGGTAAAAAAGTGACTAGACACTTACATTAATAAAATAATGTATGACAAACTTATTATCACCTATTGACTAGATTATTACGTGTCTCGTCGTTAATAATGTGCCGAAACGTTACTCCATTAGAGGTTGGGCTTCAGAAGGTAAGGATGGGCTCTTCGCGATGGTCCAATATATCTGTAATTAAAAAATATATATTTCACACTTTGGTACAACAAAACAAACAGATACACAAGAAGGATTTTAAAATTACTGCACCAGACGGCCAAAAGCGATTTCTTCCAGACAACCCAACTGAAAAGAAACATAAGAAGTAATTGTCTTGTTTACTTCTTAAGTTTACTTCCAGTTGTTCGAACCACGAATCACTGTCTGTGGATTTTCGAATATCCAAAGTAAAGTTGGGTGACAGCATATCTTGTTAAGATGTTAAATGGCTGTGGTATTTCACCTTCCATCTAGTCACCCTAAGCTTGTCTATCCTACACTATCATAAAAAGATATACCTTTAGCGATAGCCCACCAAGGCAGTGTCACATAGGTGAGGAACGCTGAGAGTGGTGCACTCTGCTGCCGTTTACCCTCCTTCCACAGATGAAAGGTTTGTGTGAAACCACGAAGCGCCCACAGCGGATTGTACGCACCGTCGTCCAGCTCTGAAATGAAAGAACATCTAAATTAAAAATCCATTTCATCAACTTGTGGAACCCTACCCTTCTCTAGTCGCTTCCAACAAATTCTTTTTAGATTAAAATTGTACTTAACTGCTCTCACCAATTGAGTTACCGTGTCCTACACGTCATCGCCTAATTTTATTAAACCTATTAATACAACCCTGGCGCAGAAAAAATTTCAACCTCAATACTTGTGTATTTACTTATTTATTTATTAACTTTATTAATAACAAACACCACAGAAATGGTTTACAACAATCAATTTTTATGTACTAGGTCATAACTAAAAGGCGGCCTTATCGCTAAACAGCGATCTCTTCCAGGCAACCTGAAGTGAAGGGAAAAACAAAAAATAAAATAAAAGGACTATAGGTAGGTGGTGCTAGAAAGGATCATGAAAAAGAAAGGCAATACTGATATGACTTTCTTACTTAAACTTACTGATATGACTTAATTAAAACTTAACTTAACGGGACGAAACCGAAAAAATAACATAAATCTATTGTCCTAAAGAAGCAAGTTATACTGAAATGTGATTTTATATGCACACATATACAAGTGATGTATATATACACTAACCAGTACTGAGTGTGTGTTAAAATATTTAATGTTAATAAAACACTTTTAACGGTTTAAACTCGGGGGGAGTGCGTGTCCACGACATCCGAAGCATCCGGCCTTATATAAAATAAATTCTAAATACATTTAACAAATACAGTACGCGTTTTAAACCGTTAAAAGTTAGTTATCCAAATGTTTATTACTCGCGTAAACTATAGACAGTACTTAAGTTAGTAGCAATACAAATAAACAATATAGAGCAAAGCATACCGTGAATATTTCGCTTAGGCAAGTCGCACCAATAGTAGATATCGGTGCCGTCCGGCGTGGTTCGCCGTGGTGGGAGGCGGGCTGACCGAAACAGCGCTGCCGCCACCCCCCGCCGTCGGGGCAAAGTGACGTAAGCACGAGCGCTACCACTCCACGGCCCCTTGTCCCTCGCCCCACTCTCACTACACGTTTCCCTTTCATCATCGCGTTCATATCTCCCGCCATCACCTTCGCAATCACGATTTTTCGGTTTGAGAATGTTATTTTTGTTTTCGGTCTTCCGTACTACGTTATCGTCCCAGCTGACGCCGCGGCAAGCTTTAGTTGCTGTAGAGGTCTCGGTCTTCCGGTATTCAGAACCGTTCCAGCTAACGCCCCTCGAAGATTTTCGCTCTTGATCGGTATCAGCCCAGCTGCTTCCGCCCCTGTGGCGTCGCGGGTTGTCATTGACGTCACACGGCAGTTCCTCTCGTCCGCGGACTGTTCTATCCTTATCCGTGGCTTGCGTCGGTCTCACGCGTGATATGGTAGCGACTAGATCGTTCTCATCTAGGGAAGCGACGTCATACGCTATCTCGCACTCGTGCGCAGCTTGCGCGTTGTGAAGAGGGCGGAGGGACGGCGCGGGGCTGTGGGGCGGGCGGCGCGGGGAGAGGTGGTGAAGGCACGCGGGGGAGAGGGGCGCGGGCGGGGCGGCTCGGTACACCTCCCGCATCGCCTCGACCCGCTTGCTCGGACGCGCGCAGCACCACTTCGTAGACCCTGACCCTCTGCGACCTACGGACCAGACACACACTTCACCCTTCGCGCACCGGCACCCTTCCTTACTGTCTCAACAACATTCAACTAAACAATTGAGAAGGTATTTACTATTGTATTTCATATAGCAACTTCCATATACATCTATCCATATTGAATATTGTCGAGATGATAAATCTAAGGGAGTTGCACCGGTTTCGCTTACTTTAAAAGGCATCGTAGGATGCAAAGTAGCTCAGAACAGCTTCATGGCAATACATTTTCAAATCAAGAGAAATTATATATAGCAGCCACAACTCTTTAAAAGTTGCATTGTCGCGATTACAAACTATGGGAAATTTAGTGACTGAAAGAGATTTCATAAATTAACTGCTTTTTCATCTTTGGTATATTTCGTCTGATAGATGAAACACATACAGTGATATGAATCTACAGATTACATGGATAACGAAATCTTGAAATAGCATTTTTCGAACGGCCGAAAGACGGGGTCGCGAGATATTGTGTCGTGTACAGCCGTGCGGTGCGTGGTCGCCGGTCGACAGAGGGGCAGGGTCTTAAGGCGTCTTTACTTACGCCTAGCGACAATACAACCACTGACTACAAACATGCAAAGCGAACGAATTAAAATAATGATAAATGCTAAGACAGGCAAGAGCTAAAACAACAATGTTTAAAACACAAAAGGCAGGTGTCGTGCAAAGCAAACGGTATTTTACAGCAAACACGACAAAAAAGCTAATTTTAGAAGAAAAATTTTAGTTACAAAGGTACAGCAGTACTCATTCAGACAAAAGAAAATATATTTTCAATAATGAAATAGCTTTAGAGAATTGTTTTAATAGTTCCCTCAATTTCAACGAGATGGCGCTACTAATACCATGTCTGAATAAAGGTCGCAATCGACCAATCAAATCAATCAAATATTGATATGAAGTATATCGTGGTAACATGATCTAGATAGCATGTTGATATAATTGAATACTTATTATCTGTTAGTACTGGAGCTAATAACAATTGAATAATAGACTAAATGTCTATATTATATAAGATTTTCACCGTTTACTGGAAATAATAAAAAGAGATTCAGTTTTCGTAAGTAGATGAGTCTGACTAAACACTTGCTAGTAAACCAAGTTGTTAAGCAAAATGGGCCCAAGCAATGTCTGTCCCACTGGCGACTAGGACTGTAGTTAAAAGGGATTTTGGCAAATTAACATTTAATTTGACATTACCGTCTCTCAGATCCCCCGCTTCCACCTCAGCCAGTCCATCGTTGAGTGAGTCGAGGCCTTCGTTCTCGGAGCGACTCTTGTCGCGTGCATCTTTCTCTTTGTCACGCGATCGCCATCCGCCGCGAACAAAGGACGCTATGTTCGCTGAAGGATCGCTAAGGCGACGCTGTAATTGAGATATGGAAAGTCAGTTTTAAAACAAATAGAAGATAGTCAAGTAAGAAAATAAATATAGAAAGGAGTTAGTAGGAGACCGGGTTAACTACAGGATTTAATTTCACATAGAATGGTTAATGAATATTATTATAAATAAAAGAAATAACTTGCAAAATGTAGGACAGTTTATATATAGCGAGATTTCCTTCGAGTTGCTCTGAATACTCCAATGAATGTTGTATTATTTTTATTTATATAACGGTTGCCTGCAAGAAATCACCAAAGGCATACTTTGTCAATTTGAACTAGTACTTCCCGAGATTCGCGCTTTCAAACAAACACATCTCTTGAGCTTTATAATATTAGTATAGATATGTAATAAGAATTTCTTTAAGAAATATTTCGCACCTGATGCCTATATAGAAACATATCATCAGGGTCGTCCTCCCAATCGCTGTCCCAAAGCTCGGCTGCAGTTAGCCCAGGCTCCGAACTGGGTGTGTGGACACCGGAACCGCGTGGTCGCGACACCGCCACCTGTCGACAAATAAGCAAATCTATTAAAACTTAGATTTCAAACGTAATAATACAAATTCGTTTTAAAGATACAAATAAAACATTAAAACTTAATAACTATCGTGACTGAAGAGATATTTAGTGGTATATTTAGGAACGTTTACGTCTAAATACTCTCTGCAGTTTAAACAAGTAATACACATTTAAATAAAACACTTCAACGGTTTAAAACGCAAAAGAATATATTACTTAAATTTATTGTCTCCCCGCGACCAGGGCTGCTGCAAAGCGTCCGAAACTTCGGAACGTAGTTACAATAATTTGTAACTAATCTTAAGATATTTCGCGTTTTAAGCCGTTAAAGTGTTTGTTTTAAATAGTAACGTCTATAGTATAACAGAGTCACGTTGAAACCACTTGCATAAAAAAATAATTTTTGGTCTCGACTTTGACCTGCCTGAGTTATAATACGTTTAAAAACGAATTTATTTTACATACTGTAGTAATAAAATGTACATACCTCTGCGTGACCTTTTCCACCTGGCCCCTTCATCCTCACGAATTCGCATCGCGTTGCGCCCGCGCCGCGAGCCCCTAATAGACCGAAGGACATGCGCTGTGCCACCTTAGTCGATAACGAAGATTGCTGAAAACAATGATACCAACATGTAGCAGTACTTCATATACAAAAGTCTTTGAGGAGCCAGTTCTATGGTAGCGATATATATAGCTGATATTCAACGGGTCGTGGATTCGATCCCCACAGGGTCTAGGATATTTCTAATCAGTTTATTATTTAGCTGAAACACGTTGAACTTCGTCTGGAATCTGGATGTGTTATGCATGGTAGGAATATCGAAATTTTGTCTGGATCACGAACCTCCGTCCTCAGATGAAAAACCCGTCAAATTTAATCGCGTTTACCAAAAATCCAAATCAAAATAGACAGCGCATCTCGTTCAGATGTTATACGACTAGGGTATTTCATCTACCATCAAGTGAACCAAAGTTGTCTGCCCTCATCTACCATGAAAAAATAGTAATCGTCAAATAACATGTATACAGTTATCGTGTGTAATAATAGTAATGTTTCAGAATTTAAATAAAACACTTTAACGGTTTAAAACGCGATATATTAGTTAAACTTATTTGAAAATGATTTTTAACTTCGGCCCGACGTTTCGGATGCTTTGCTTTGACCACGGCTGCTGCAAAGCATCCGAACCGTCGGGCGGAAGTTAAAAATCATTTTCAAATAAGTTTGACTAATATATCGCGTTTTAAACCGTTAAAGTGTTTTATTTAAATGTGTACTACTCGCGTAAACTATAGACAGTATTTAATGTTTCAGAAGTTTACAATGAAGGTCAAGTCAAAACAATAATAACAGGATAAATGCAATCCGTATGTGAAAACGGACATTTGGAAAAACATGTAAACAAAGTTGCCAAAAGACCGATATTAATGGGAAGGTAAAAATAAAACATAATATTTTAGAGTCAAAGGCACAAATTTGGGCCGACAACCCCTCGCTGCCAGACTGCAGCCATTCATACTACATTCACGACTATTAACAAGAGATGCTTTTCATAAAACATTGTCCACTGTTTAAACGGCGAAATATATTACTTAATATGTCACATCTGCTACGTTCCCCCGTGACCACGGCTACTGCAGAGCATCCGAAATATAAAAAAATATTTCGCGTTTTAAACCTCACAATACTCAAAAAAATACTTATAGAAGTTTAGTATTTACAGAATTAATTGTCTACATTTCAAGCGAGTGGTCTCCTGAAAAAGTCTGAAAGTTAACTAATTTTAACTTAAATATTTCGCGCTTTTTACTGTTAAATATAACTATGTATAAGAGACATTCTTAAAATAACCTTAGACTATATGTATTGTCGTTTATATCAAACAAAGTTACATATTTATACCAAACTAGCTGTGCCAGCGACTTCGTCCGCGAGAATCGTTATTTTCGGCATCCAAATTAGGTTTTGCAAACCCCGTCATCTTTATAGACTTAAACTGTCAGCGATGGCGTCGATCGCGTCCCTTCCCGTCGTTCTTGGAAGTTAATCTTAAAAGATACAAATATAGCGTCTAGGACTTTATTTAGATCATTTAAAGAGGAATCATTCTTTGCTACACATTCTTTAGGTATCTTGAACCATTGTCGCAGCGTACGCATCTGAAGCCCACAGAGATGAAAAATTTCCCCCGTTTTGTTCACATTTCCCGCTGTATCTCCGCTTCTATTAGTCACAGCGCGCCTTTTATAGCCTTCCTTGATAAATGCTCTAACCAACACATAAAGAATTTTCCAATTCGAACCCGTAGTTCCTGAGATTAGTGCGTTCAAACAAACAAACAGACAAACTCTTCAGCTTTATATATTAGTATAGATGTAACTAAACAAGTACACACAATACTTTTACAAACACTCCTAACTCAAATATAAAAGTGAAATTGCGTTTTTCATTCAGATTTGAAATCTAGGTTCTCGTGTTTAACGTTGCTAAGCAACGCATTTTACCATTCAGCTTTGAGCTAGCTTAAAACTAATTATATGCGGGTAAAATACATAAATTATGAGGCGTACAATGATAAGTGAGCGCTCGGTGGCTCATTATAGCTTCGCCATCAAGCGGCGTCAACTCGTCGCGACTTGTTGATTCACCCCTTCTACCCCCATGAGCCCCCAGCGCCCCCGGCCGGACTGTTACATTACCACAATCAATATCGCCCTCGCCAAGAACTTGCCAATAGGAAACCGGTCGTTATTCACGCATCTTTAATTTCAAGTGTTTTGTAGTAATTGAGCTATTGTTAAGCTGTTGTTTTTCATCTTTTTTTTTCATATGTATCAACCTCCCTACAATGAGTCGAAATATCGCAGTGTTGCTGCGCTATTATAAACCTTGATTTAAATTAAAAAACCTTCCCAAATTCCCTTCGAATACTGTGCAATATGAGCAGGGACTTAACAGCGTAACAAAGAACTAAAAGAAAATATATATATTTTCTAGCTACTAGCTCGGTACGCGACTTTGTCTGCGTAAAACATTTTGGGCATCACAATTTGTTTCTGCAATTTTAACTGTTGTGTCGTCCGCGTCCTTCGTTCTTGCGAGTTAATCTTAAAACATGCCCATATAAGTGTCGCGGTAATTCGTTAGATTTTTTTAAAGAATAATCTTTCTTTCATATGTATTTGTTTTACAACATTTTACATTTCCTCCACTCCTATTGGCCTAACCATGTCTATATATATTTTCCTCTAGTAAAAGGTCTATCCAACACGAAAATAATTTGTCAATCCGATTTGATAAGCGCGTTCAAACATACAAACAAACAAAATCTTAAACTTTATAAATTAGTATAGATTTACCAGCGTTGTACAAAATGAATGCCAAATAAAACGATCTATTATTACGAAAGCAAGAATATTCAACATTTTAACATTGAATTTAGCAATAACATGTCGTATTCATTTGATTGTGCCGCAACTCGAGATATCCTATCACATTTCTGTATTTAATACGTGCGTTGATTAACAGTTACCAACTTATTGGATATCTACTACACTTTTAGAATAAATAAAAGCTATTTTATGTATACTAGTTTATTTTATAATAATAATAATTTTTTCGTTGAGAGACAGGGGATTAGATTTAAGCTGCATTCAGCACTATTATACGGAACTAGATGACGTTTCGCGGTTTCGCTAATACAAATTAAATAATAAAGTTCAAAGCAAAAAATTTCACACCACCTTTTTCCATCAACTGCGCTGTCGATTTATTTAATCTTCGGACATTGGGAAATGCAAGAACTTCCATGTGATCGTGATTCGTGTTCCGGGACTAAAAAACAACTAAATAATATAAAAACATGTTAGACGAGGCGTGAGTTGAACATACCATCATTTTGTTTATTCGCTATTAGTCGCAGTGTGATGATACACCAAAATCCTTTCTCGATAAATGGTCTGTCAAAGACAAATGCTTCAATTCAATCCATTTGTTCCTGAGATTAGCGCGTTTAAACAAACACTTTAGCTTTATAACATTAGTATAGATAATCAATGATTATGACTTAATCTTTGATGGTTTCTATCTCCTGTAAACAAAGGTTGCCTAGACGAAATCGACAAGGCCGCCTTTGCACTTATTATTTATGTAATTGAGTAATTCCTTGATTTCGATTTATTTGTACAATGAAGTGTTTTATATTGACTTAACGACGCCCCCCAGTTATTACGCCAAGTAGGTTTCTATGTCCCATCAGAGTATCCTCGCAAACCCAAAACCCCACTTCGCACTCCTCCACGAAGAAATGTATTTGGTGCTAGCTCGCCTTTATCAAGATGTTGTTACAAATACTGTCTGTAGATGACACAAGTAGTAACCATTTAAATAAAACACTTTAACGGTTTAAAACGGTTGGTATTTAACGAAACTAACTGGGGGTGCAACTTTAAAGAGGAATCATTCTTTGCTACACATTCTTTAGGTATCTTGAACCATTGTCGCAGCGTACGCATCTGAAGCCCACAGAGATGAAAAATTTCCCCCGTTTTGTTCACATTTCCCGCTGTATCTCCGCTTCTATTAGTCACAGCGCGCCTTTTATAGCCTTCCTTGATAAATGCTCTAACCAACACATAAAGAATTTTCCAATTCGAACCCGTAGTTCCTGAGATTAGTGCGTTCAAACAAACAAACAGACAAACTCTTCAGCTTTATATATTAGTATAGATGTAACTAAACAAGTACACACAATACTTTTACAAACACTCCTAACTCAAATATAAAAGTGAAATTGCGTTTTTCATTCAGATTTGAAATCTAGGTTCTCGTGTTTAACGTTGCTAAGCAACGCATTTTACCATTCAGCTTTGAGCTAGCTTAAAACTAATTATATGCGGGTAAAATACATAAATTATGAGGCGTACAATGATAAGTGAGCGCTCGGTGGCTCATTATAGCTTCGCCATCAAGCGGCGTCAACTCGTCGCGACTTGTTGATTCACCCCTTCTACCCCCATGAGCCCCCAGCGCCCCCGGCCGGACTGTTACATTACCACAATCAATATCGCCCTCGCCAAGAACTTGCCAATAGGAAACCGGTCGTTATTCACGCATCTTTAATTTCAAGTGTTTTGTAGTAATTGAGCTATTGTTAAGCTGTTGTTTTTCATCTTTTTTTTTCATATGTATCAACCTCCCTACAATGAGTCGAAATATCGCAGTGTTGCTGCGCTATTATAAACCTTGATTTAAATTAAAAAACCTTCCCAAATTCCCTTCGAATACTGTGCAATATGAGCAGGGACTTAACAGCGTAACAAAGAACTAAAAGAAAATATATATATTTTCTAGCTACTAGCTCGGTACGCGACTTTGTCTGCGTAAAACATTTTGGGCATCACAATTTGTTTCTGCAATTTTAACTGTTGTGTCGTCCGCGTCCTTCGTTCTTGCGAGTTAATCTTAAAACATGCCCATATAAGTGTCGCGGTAATTCGTTAGATTTTTTTAAAGAATAATCTTTCTTTCATATGTATTTGTTTTACAACATTTTACATTTCCTCCACTCCTATTGGCCTAACCATGTCTATATATATTTTCCTCTAGTA